CATTAAGGGTTGTTTGTTTTTGTTTTTTTGGTACTGGGGATCGAACTCGGGTCCTTACACTTGCACAGCAGGTGGCAAAACCACTGAGCCGGCCCTGTTTGTTTTTTGAGACAGGGTCTAACGCTATGCAGTTCAGGCTGGCCTTGAACTCACTATGTAGCCCAGGCTGGCCTCAAACTTGCATTGATCCTCCTGCCTCAGCCTCCCAAGTGCTGGGATAACAGGGAATCATTCTGAGAAATGTGTGTGCTGCACAAACTCAGACAGGCTCGGCATTACTAGATGCCACGATCCTAGGGGACCAGCCTTCTTGGACATGGCCTGGCTTCCTGAACAGCCTCTAAGGAGCATTTGCAGGAAAGAGGGCTGGGAGCTAGGGGTGGAGCTGCTCCTGGTGGGAGTGCATTCGGCTCCCTGGTTACGCCCCGCCCGTTCTTTCAACTCCTTTCTCTAGCAGATTTAGGGGGCTTCAATGTTCAGGCTTTTTATAATCACAGCTCTCTTCCTGCAGGAAAATACAGCTATTCATCTCAGCAGGCAGCAGTACCAGTTATATGGCAGGCATTAGTCATCAGGAATTTTTCAAATAAACACTCCTGCTAGGGGCAGGTCTTTAAAACATAGAGTCAATTATGCTCCCCTCCAGCCTAGGGGCTCCCAGGCTCCTACAGAACCCACCCCTGGGGAGTCCCCAGTCTCACTCCCCACTCCAAGGAGTACAGATGACCCCCAGCACACTCTGCACTTCTGGCCTGGGTAAATGTTTGGCGCGAGTGCGCGTGCGTGCAGGAGGTTTTGAGCAAGTCTTTTAACTGTCCCACCTTGGCCAACAAGGTCAACAGTGCAACTCTGCAACTTCTTCCAAGTCCTCCTGACTTACTCCACGGGTCCCAGGGAAAGTCCCACAGCCACCAGGAGAACAACACCTCACACACTGGGCCATGGGCTCTCTTCCTATCCTCCCCCAGGGAACGCAGCGCGGCCTCACCCACCTGGCTGCGAGGTGGGCAGGGCTGTGGCTGGCTCCAGACAGAGGCCTAGCCCCCAAAAGATCAGGCCCAGGAAGGGGGGCACAGATTATATAAAATGAACTTTAACCCATGGTGGTCTCTAGAAGGTGTATGTGTGCTGTGGTCATTTCACAAGGAGAGATCATAATTCAGATCATTGCTAAGGTGCAACTCTGAATTGGGTGCTTTAAAGACACGAAGAAAACCAAGATGGAGGGCCTGGGATCTGGCTCAGTGGTTCTGCCGCCTGCCTTGCAAGCGGAAGGACCGGAGTTTGATCCCCAGTACCCCCCAAAAAAGAAAGAAAACCAAGATGCAAGGACACCATCTCTTTCCCCAAGAGTCCTGTGCAGATCTTTCATTTAAAACCCAGCTCCTGGGCCGGGGATTTAGCTCAGTGGTTCCGCCACCTACCTCGAAAGCACAAGGTCCCAAGTTCGATCCCCAGTACCAAAAAGAAAAAAACAAACACCCCAGTTCTTCCCTCAAACTTACCTGTACATTCAAGCTTATCTCAACAAGGAAACATGCAATGGGCTCGGAGTCTAGAGCCTTGGCCCCAACAAGCAGGCTTGCTCACTCCCACCCCTGCAGCTCCACAGACTCCCCAGGGGGGGCACCTGGCCTGGCCCTGAGCCCAGCCAGAGGCAGCAGCCAGCCTCCTCCAGCACCTGGATGGCCTGAGCAAAGCGAGGACTGCCTTGGCCGCTTAGTCAGGGGTCTCCCATAGCAGAAGCCAGAGGTGGCATGGGGGGTGGTGCAGGTGGTGCCCAGTGCTCCCCAGGGTGGCGGCAGGGGGGGTGGGGACCTGCAGGTCTCTCATGCCTGAGGTCACCAGAGAAGTTCTGAGAGTGGAGAAGGACATGTCACCACGGCCTGGAATAAGTGCTGCTTAAACCACCCTTCCCATTCTGGGTTTCCCAGTAAGCAAGGAACTTCCAGTGGTGAATGGAGGCCTAGTTCAGGATAATGATGATCCTTTCCTGGCCTACACGGCATTAGGAACACAGGGCGGTGGACACAGGGCGGCAAGGCGCAGCTGCTCAAGAAAACAAGCACATTGAAAAAGAAAGAAAACAAGCACATTTCCTGATACTGTCCCTGTCCAAGTGACCACACGGGGGGGATGAGGCTATTTACACTTCCACAGGCTCCACCTTTTGCTGTTTCCATTAGGAGGAGCAAAGAACCTGTCTGGACAGAAATGTAGAAGAGCCTACAACAGAGTTTTGGGGGGTTTTTGTGGGTTTTTTTGGTAACAGGGATTGAACTCGGGTCCTTAGCCTTGCACAGCAGATGGCGAAACCACTGAGCTAAATCCCCGGCTCAACAATGGAGTTCTTCCTGGGACGATCACAAAACATTAAGACCAGAGCTCCCAGAGTGGGGACATCTCCCAGGAAGTGTGCAAAACAATGTATTTTCTGTAGGAAATGACATTTGCTCACTGCAGTTTGCTCAGAATCCTCACGTGCCTTCACATGGAGCTCTACTTTTTCTCTCTGCTGACTGTGAAAGTGAACTCAATGGAGCTTCCAGGAGATTTAACCCCAACAGTGTGTTGTCCAGTTTCTTCCACACTAATTGTCCAACCCTCTTCACACAACAGCAAAGCAGTGCTCTCACACAGAAATTGGGTCATGGTACTCATTTAAAAAAACCTTGGCTGGGCTGGGGATTTAGCCCAGTGGTTCAGTCGCCTCCCTCAAAAGCACAAGGTCCCGAGTTCAATCCCCAGTACCAAAAAAAAAAAAAAAAAGAAAAGAAAAAAACCTTTGCTATTGAGCACTCAAGTACCTGCCAAGCTCTTTCCAGAGCATTCGCTGCAGGCACATTACTTCCCAGAGTCCTGTGCAGCAGGTGCTTCCCAGGTTTTACACAAAAGGAGAGAGAGGCAATTCCTGCAGACCAGGTGGAAAGCCAGAAAGCAGGGGCCTGAACCCTGGCCATCTGTCTCCTCCTTCTGTAGTCTGCTCCTGGGGACCTCGAGCTTCTCTTACTGCAAGGAAAGGTGCGTAGCAACTGCCAGCACTTGCTGAACACTTAGTGTGTGGTACAATCTTTAAAACACACCTTCGAAGACCTGACACGAACACCATTATAACACAAGGGAGGACACTGTCCCGCTCAGAAGTCACCTGGCCAGGGTCACAGAACCTAATAGGCCAATGAAAGACCCATATCTGCCTGGCAGCACAGTCCCCTTTCTTCCTGAGGCTCCATACCCTATCCCTGCAGCCTCACCAAGCCCAGAACAAGACTACACACACTGAGGCCTATGGACCATCGCACAGAACAGAACCAGGGGAACCGATCCCAGAAGCGGGACCTAGGAAGCAGCTCACTCTGCCATCGAGGAAGGGACCTCTGGATTCAGAAGCACCCCAGGACCCAGCACCAAGGGACTGAAGGGAAGACATAGCTGAGGAAACAGAACTAGCACTGCTACCACCAGAAGCCAGGTCAAACTGCCGGCTGCTGAATTACATGGCTGCTGAATTACACGACGGCAGCAAATGCAGTGGGGATGCTTGACCCAGGGGGTGGGCCCTTTCAGACAAGAATTTTCCAGCCTAGAGCTGGGGATTTAGCTCAGTGGTTCCACCACCTGCCTTGCAAGAACAAGGTCCAGAGTTTGATCCCTGGTACCAAAAAAAAAAAAAAAGAATTTTCTAGCCATAGGCTCGAGTAGATATTAATAAACATCTAGTGAGTGAATGAATGCCTGAGAAAAACGGTATTTAACATCCCCACAGCCTGGCTGTTTACAAAGACATCCAACTTATCCAATGTGTGTTGGAAAACTACTGGCCAAATTCCCACTCCATACAGGTACACTTAGCTCAGAAACTTGAAAATAGCTAATACTACCTAAAAGTCTAGAGACCCTACAGAGGGCCGGGGATTTAGCTCAGTGGTTCCACTGCCTGCCTTGCAAGCACAAGGACCCGAGTTCGAAGGACCCGAATTCGATCCCTAGTACCAAAAAAAAAAAGAAAAAAAAAAAAAAAGAGAGCCTGCAGAATACATATTCGAATCACTCCCATGTCCTCCCCAGCAGCTCCAGGGCACTCATTCTGAGGAAAGTCCCCAGCTTCCCTTGCCTGAGACCAACTCACAGAAGTAGAAGGCACAGACAGCTCTCTGCGTCCTGGAGCAAGCCATTCTGCCACTCCCAGCCTTGAATTTCCCATTTATAAAATGGGAGTACCATTAGGAGCCAGCGCCTGTAATCCCAGCACTGGGGTGACTGAGACAAGAGAATCACTGCGAGTTCGAGGCCAGCATGGACTACACAGAGAGACCCTGTCTCAAAAATAAGCAAATGAGGGGCCAGGGATTTAGCTCAGTGGTTCCACCGCCTGCCTAGCAAGCGAAAGGTCCCAAGTTCGATCCCCGGTACCAAATAAAGAAAGAAAGAAAGAAAGAATATATAGTTAGCAGACAGGATTGTGAAAAGGCTGATACATCTGAGAGCGAGAAAACTTCAAACGTTGCACAAAGAGGGGGATGGCCAACAGCCAGCTTGGAAAGGACGACGGGCGCAGGATTTGGTGTTTAAAGCTCTAGGTCGGAGTCTCAGTTCGACACGGTCTGGGCATTCACTTCTCCGCAAACTTCAGCTGTCCCAACTCCGACACGAGCGCAGACCAGGCGGCGCCGGGATCCCGGAGAGGAGGGGGTGGTGCCCCGGAACCCCGGCACGCGGGCCTCTGGCAGTCCCTCCTCCGCCAGCCCCCTCCGCGTCCGCCCCATCCCCACCCCCGCGTCCCTCGGCCGCCCCAGCAACGGCACCTCGGGCAGAAGGTGGGCGGCTGGGCGCTCGCGGCGGCGGCGGCGGCGGCGGCGGCGACCGGGCCAATGAGGAAAGTGGCTCAAGCAGGGGGCGGGTGCAGACGGCCCTCGAGTCGCGCCAGGGCTGCTCCCCCCTCCGCCCGAACCCCGCTAGGCCGCAGACCCCGAGCCCCGAAGAAAGAAAACGCTACCCACCGCCCTTTCGTCGCCACTCCGCGTTTCCGGATGAGCTCATCCAGAGAGATGTCCGCCATCTTACACCGCCGAGCCACCCGAGAGCAGCTTAGACGCCTGAAGCCCGCGATCCCACCCCCTCGGCCGCTACAGAGCGACGAGCTACTTCCGGCGTCCGGCCAACCACTCTCGCGACAATTTAAACGAGACAAGGAACTGAAGGGGCGGGGTTGCTTCCCGTGAACCCTCGCGATGCTCGTTCCTTATTTACATATGCTTTATGGGAACACAGTAGAGCCTTTCTCTCTCCCAAACAAATAAAATTTAAAACGACATTACAAGTTAACAACAAATAATGCAAACTTTAAGGGAACAGGGCTGTCCGTTCAGTAAGCAACTTGATAATCACCGTAGGTCAAATAAGAATGGTTTTCATTACCTATGGAGTAAAACGAACAGTCTTTTATGCCTTAAACTTATGAGTAAGGAAAATAACGATTCGGGGTGACGCCCGAATCCTCACTGCTAATGTGAGACGAATTTTTGAGCGGGTAAAGGTTGCCCCTAAGGTGACCCGCCTACTTTGCGGGATGCCTAGGAGTCGCGATCTGCCCGATTCCCATTCTTCTGAAAATCAGACTGTTTTATTTTATAGTGGTTCTAGAACTTTCGGGGGAGTTGATGAAGTAGTAGTCTGTAGGTGTGCTTTGTGATTGGTTTGTGGACGTTACTAACACTGTTTAATAATCTGTAAGGCTGTTGGTTTACTCTCGCGTCCCCAGTTTGCGGTTTAAATTCCTGGGGGATTTAGACGGATTCATTTTTGTGTTAGGCACTGAGTGGCCTCTCACTGAAGCCCCACCCGCACACCCCAGCCTTGAATCTGGTGTAATGTTAAGGGGGGCAACTCAAGACGTAGGTCAGGTCACGAAATGTAGATAAGAGGCTGAGGGTACGCCTCTTCGTAGGCTGTGTCTCTCAAGACTGCTGGTTGGATCTCCAGCACCACAAAAACAGACTAAAAACGCAGTGTTCTTAGATCAGGTACTCTTGACGGCCAACCACATTTAGAAATCTGGCTCGCTTGGAAGCTGAGGCTGGAAGATCAGAAGTTTGAGCCCAGTTTAGGCAACTTAGTGAGATACTGTCAAAATAAATGGGCTGGGGATGTAGCTGAGTACAAAGGCCCTGGGTTCAAGCTGGGAAAGCCAGCTCTACTCCTGGCCCGTGTTTCGTGGGCCTTCCAGTCCCTGGGTGCTGGGAGGAGGAAAGGACAGCCACAGCGAGGACAGCTGGACCGGGTAGATGCGGTGTGGCCCTGCCCCGGGGCACGTGAGAGTTTGGGGGCTTTCTGTTGTCCGGGAAACAGGGATGGAGGGCATGAGGGTGGGGACGCGGGTTGGAGAGGCCCTGGCTCTCTAAGGACAGTGGAGTCAGAGGAACTTGTCCTGCTTTGTTTGGAAATCGGCCAAGCACTGTCCCTGGCTCGGAAAAGCACCCCCAAGGGCAGGGCCTGGGAGTCTGACTGTATCTGGGGCCTGGACACTGGGACTGTCCCAGGATCCAGATCTGGCCACACCCAGTCCCCATGCCAGTTCATCTTCTGGGGCACTTGGGCTCAGCACTCACAGCTGAAATGCGGCAGCGTTTTAGCAAAAGCTCCTTCCTCTACTGCTCCTTCAGAACGAGGGTGGTGCTTTGTGTGACTGATTACAATTCCAGGTGTAGATGGATTCACTCCCGGGAGCACAGGGGGCCTGGAAGCATTATGGAATCACTGACCCGATTCACCCTACCCCACCTTGTGTGTGGCAGGCACTGAGAATAGAACCCAGGGCCTGAACATTCTGGGCAAGTGCTCACCTATTTTACAGGTGGGGAAACAGACCAGGCAAAGGGTGGGGACCAGGTCCGATTCAGCCCCTTCTTTCACCCTCCTGGCTGGGCCCAGGCAGGACCTTGGCCAAGCCCTGACCCTTGGCTGTTTTCTCATCCTCAGAGGGGACCGGGCGGGGCTCTAAGGTGTGTCCCTGCATGGTATGGAGGACAACGACCAGCCCTAGCCCTGTGTAAACAGCAAGGGCCAGGCTCAGAATGGAGGTGAGAGGAGTGAGCTCCATGCACAGGCCTGCACCAAGGGTTCCTTCCTGTGAAACCCCCACACTCAGGGCCCTTTACTATGCTCCTTGGGCCACTCAGCAAGTACCTGCCCCAGGGCCTTTTCATTGGCTGCAATCGCTGAGCCCTGCCACACCTTGGCCTTGTTTCAGGGATCCTGTCCTGGAAGTCGCCCCATGTGTGCTGGGGTACAGCTTGGTGGCACACGTAAGGCCCTGGGTTCCATCCCGAGCACTGCAAAAACCAAATAAAACAAAACCCCCGACAGAGGGCACTGCCGGTGAACAAAACCCACAAACTAGAAACAACCAACTGTGCAGGAGCAGGGGATTCGCTATCCATCCTGGGTCCCCCTGGGCTTGGGGGCTTGCCTGATGCTGACACCCACACCACAGCCACCCCAGGTTCCAGGCACGTTCCTGGCACCAGCTTCCAATGGCACTGGGTGCAAGTGACACTTCCACAACTCATGGGGACACCCAGAAAGAACTTGGGGCCCTGGCCAACCCTTGGCCCAGGTAAAGCCAATCACAGAGCAAGGGCTGCAGCAGGGTTAATAGTAGCAAAGTTTTACTTCAATACTTTTTCTGCTCATAAATGACTCTGAAAAAAGCCACTATGCAAGAGGCGGACACAGCTGTCAACTAAAGGCCACCAAGGACATCTGTCAGACAAGAGGCACCTCGCAGGTCCCCCCTCAGGGGGCAGGACAGCAGGTACAGGGCAGAGGCACCATGTGACTGTGTCTGCCATTGGGGCTGGGGACCTCTGCACTCTGCCAGGCTGGCGACTTGGGCACCCAGGGCCGCCTGAGTAGAGTTTGGGGGTGCTGGAGAAATGCTGAGGTCCCATGAGAGCCTGGCTGTAGCCGGCAGGGCCTGTGGGCTCTGGGGAGGGGACATCTGGAGGTGTTGGTCATCTCCTGTAGTGTCAGTGAGGGTGGCGTGACAGGTGGCAGGCTGGGTCTCTGGTCCCCAAACTCTGGACTCCCCACCCTTTCCACGCCGAGAGTGGCAGGCAGAAGACGGTGCTGGTGACCTCAACCCAGGGCCTGGGGCGGGGTTCAGAGGGCAGGGACAAGAGTGTCCCCAGCAGCACCACCAGGGCACGGGCAGGCCAGGCTGAACCCAGGTCCTGGGGCACAAGGCAGGCTAGCATGAGGCATTGTGGGTGGGAGGGAAGGACAGGTGGCAACGCGGGTGTGGATGGAGGTGGCGGAGGTGTCAGTGGGTCCCCTGCGCTCAGAAGGTGAAGCAGCGCTCCTTGGCATGGCCCAGGCGCTCCAGGTTGGGCAGGCAGGCAAACTGGATCATGGGTGGTGGCCCACACATCAGCACCAGCGTCTCCTCACCCGGCGCCGGGAGGTGGTCGCGGATCATCTCCTCGTTCACAAAGCCCTGGCTGTAGTCCCAGCCTGTGGGGAGAAGGGGACGCCGAGGGTGACTCTGGCCTCTGCCTGCCTCGGACCTCCCTCCCAGCTCCTGTTCCTCCTTCCCTGGGAGGCGGGCAGAGGTCAACCCAGCAATGTCGCTGGTCCTGGCCCTGTGGCCTGAAACTGGACACAACCCCTTTCCCAGCTTCCCATACCACACTTTACAGGGTGCAAAGCCTTCAGTTATGGATCCCATTTTACAGGTGAGGAAACTGAGGCCCAGGGGACTCAGAACTACATGGTCAAGACCCCAGCCCCGTGCTGCTCAGAGAGATCCACCCCCTGCCCTTGACTCAGGCCCCAGGCTCCCTGCCCCGCTCCTCTCTCTCCTGTGGGGCATCGGCCACGAGGCCAGGCTTGGGCTGCAGCTGTGTTCCTGGCGCCCGCGGTGCCCAGCACCGGTCACTGCTCAGTCAACAAGGAGCTGGAGGAGCAAGTCCCAGACCCGCGTGAACACACACGGCCTGGTCCTCTCCAGGGCCAGTGCCAGGCAGCCCCATTAGGAGCTTGGCCGACCGGTGGACACTCTGCCCAGTGTGCAGGTGACCGCCAAGTGGCTCCTCTCGCATGGCCTCAGAGAAGGAGCAGGAAGGCAGGTGGCAAGCTGGGCAGTGCACAGAAGAATCAGGAGAGGAGACAGGGACATGGGTCGCCAACACCTGCCTCTGGATTCCCATTGGGGTTGGCTGGGGCTGCAGTGGTTTCTGGCCCCCGAGAGTCCCCCATCCCAAACACCAGAGGGATCCAATCCGGCCTGTCTCCACCCTGTGCCTCCACAAGGCCTCAACAGCAACAGAGAAAACATAGCAGGTGCCCAAGGTCAAAAGACTCTGGCTGACCCCAGCCACCTTGCCCAGATGCCCAACATGCAGTGCATCACACCATGTCCCACTAGGGGACTCCCCGGAGCAAGAGGGGCCAAGTTGGGCTGCCAGCCTTAGGGCTGGGAGGAGTCTACTGCTGAACAGGAGTCCTCTTCCACTCATCTCGGGGACGCTTTTCACCGTAGCTGCTAGGAACCTCAGTGACACGCATGGCCCACACATGGCAATGTACACCAAGGCCATGGTTCTGCACAAACCTCATTCCTGGTTCCATTTTATGGCCCTGCCCCTGTTTTTCCTCCACTCCGGCTTTCCACTTGCATGGTTCCTGACTCACCACCTGAGTCTTCACAGGCCGCCTAGGATCCCTTCCGGAACAAGGCGGGGCTCAGACTGACACATCACATACTTACAAAGTAGGAATCACTTTGTAAAAAGCTGCCTGGGTAAACTGGGAAGTTCTTTAAGTGGGTTTTGCCAAGCAGAGTTTGGGGGGGGGGTTGTGTTTTTTTTAGTACAGTTTTTAATGAATATATGAAATCTGAAGGAAACTTTAGAGGTATTTTAATGGTCCAGGTGAAGGTGCCAGTTACTGTTCAGTATCACCTCTACAAAAGCTTCATCACTTTATTTGATGCTGGTTGCTAAGCAGCCACTGAAGAGTGTAAATGTACTGGGGACCTTTACAAGCCACAGGCTGATACTACACTGTTGTCATGCAAGGAATTAATGCACATGCTCTAACAGCTAAACAGGAAAAGAACCTAAAAAAGGGCCAGGGATTTAGCTCAGTGGTTCTGCAAG